AGAAACCCTGTATAGAAAACAAACAAAAACAGGGGTGGGGGTGGGGTGTGTTACTGAGAAAGACAGGGATTGACCTCTGACCTCCACACACACAAAGAAATTAAACCTCAAAGGAGGACCTAAAAAATAAATAGGCAAGATGGGCGTGGTGGCACTTGCCTTTAATCCCAGCACTCGGGAGGCAGAGGCAGGCGGATCTTTGTAAATTCAAGGCCAGCCTGATCTACAAGACTTAGTTCCAGGACAGGCTCCAAAGCTACAAAGAAACCCTGTCTCAAAAAAAAAAAGAAAATAAATAAGCAAATAAATAATTGCAGGCTCACACCTGAAATCATATGTCACTTAAGAGGTAGAGACAGGAGAATCAGGAGTTCCGGGCCTGTTTCAGCTACACAGTAAGGTCAAAGCCAGCCTGAGCAATGTAAGACCCTATATCAATATAAGAAAGTCAGAAGACAGTTCACAGAAAAGGAGAGAACTTTTGTGAGCATACTGATAAAAGAGTTGTATCTGGAAATTACATAGGATTCTGGCTGCTCAATATTAAAAAGAAACAAACAGCTCAATTGAAAAATGGACAGACTGGGGCTGGCATGAAGACTCAGAGGTTAGGAGCACTGGTTGTGCTTCCTTCCAGAGGACCTGGGTTCAACCCCCAATATCCACATGGCAGCGCACAACTGGTTATAACTCTAGCCCCAAGAAATCAGACACCCACTTTGGATCTCTGGGTCACGAGCCATACATGTAGTGCACATACATACATGCAGGCAAAATACCCATACACATAAAATATTAAAATGAAAACGATGCCATGGATGTGATATACACAAACATTTCTCCAGAGAAGATATACAACTGGCAACGGGCACAAGAGGCCATGCTCAGGATGACTAGTCACTAGGAAAATGCAAACTAAGAGTGCAGGAAGTGTCACTTCACACCACTAGAATGAGGTCATCAGAGACTTGTGGGGACTAGAGAACCCAGACCCTTCACGGTGCCTGTGAGCAGAAAACAGATCAGCTTCCTCAGATGGCTCCATACAACCCAGCAGGACTACTCTTCCCTACCTTAACCAAAAGGAATGGAAACTGGTCCTACTCGGCAAAACTGTATGTGAGCTTCCATAGCCCCATCCTTCTAAGGGCCAAGAGCCAAGTGCAAACAACCCAAAGTCCACCCCCGGTGAGCAGACAGCAGGTGAGCAATGCCCACAGCAGAGCACCACGGGGACACAAGAAGAAATAAGCTACAGATTAGGCTGCTCCATGGAAAAATCTTGAAAACAAAAGTTTTAGTTCACAAAACTAAAAGTTTTATGTTTTCATTTGTATGAAATACAAATAGTGGGAAAATCCAGAGCGGCAGGTGTGTATCCCCACACTTGGGAAGTAGAGGCAAGGGGGATGATGTTAAAGGCTGTCCTGGGCTACATAGGAAGTTCAGCACCTGCTGCACTACATAAGACACTGTCTCAAAGAATATAATAAAAACAAAATCAGGAGACAGAAAAGAGATTAACTGTCTGAGACTCTGGGGAGGGGGGCGAAAAGTGATTGCTAATGGCTAAGGATTTCTTTCTGGAGCAATGAAAACTTTCTAATACTGATCACAGTGAGAGCTGTACAATTCTGTCACAGCAATAAAATAAACTTTTAACATCTCTTTTGCACCAAGCGGCGGTGGTGGCACACACCTTTAATCCCAGCACTTGGGAGACAGAGGTAGGTGGATCTCTGTGAGTTCAAGACCAGCCTGGTCTACAAAATGAGTTCCAGAACAGCCAGAGCTACTGCACAGAGAAACCCTGTCTAAAAAAAGCCAAAAAAAAGGAAAAAAAAAAATCTTTTCCAAAGAGATCTAAATTATTTAAAAGACAAGCCACCCTTAGATCTGGGTTTAAAATTACAACATAAAACAATCAATTATACATTTGAACATTAGACAGCTGGTGCTATTGAGGTGTCATTGGTTTCTTATAGGATCACAAAATTAATTCCTTTTTAACATGATATAAGAATACATACATATAAAGTATCTGCAGATGAAATAGCATGGCACTCAGGAGGGGGATAAGCAGTCAGGGTACAGATAAACCAGTCACCAGGAGCAACTACCAAAGCAGGGTGACAGCAGAGCTCATATACGATTATACATCGCAATGTCTTAATATCCTTTGTTTTTCTTTTTCATTACACCATGTATCACAGGCTAACCTAGAACTTGATCTATAGACCTGGCTGGTTTAAAGTTTGTAGTAATCCTCCTGCCTCTGGCTCTTGAGTGCTGGGAGGGCTGCAATTACAGACATGAGCTACTATCACACACCTGGCATGAAAATTCTCCTTGAAAAGAGAAGGAAATTCCTCCGGCACTTAAAAATTCAATATGCATCAATCATCAATCCCACGGCATGGGGCGAGGCCACTTTCAACCACAGTCTTCTAGAAACAAAAATACTCCGAGCTTGGATACAGTATGGAGCACATGGTTAGCAGGTTAGGGCCTGGGTTTGACCTCCAGACTCTTCCTCCCACCCTCAATGGATCGCTTCTGAATCAACGACAATATGTCAAAACGGAGTGAACTCCAAATCCAGGCTAGGATATGGCTATCGACCCTCGACATTGTACTTAGTTACAAACAACAAAAGCAAAGGATCTCTAGGAAACACGCAGTAGGACAACCTGGATGCGGCCTGCAGGAGGCGCCTGTTGCAGTCTCCTTTTGCATGTGATTTATTTGGCTTTAGATTTAATGATTTTTTTTTAACTTCCTGAAACTTTTCTTGAATTTCTATTACATTTTTATTTATTTATTTAGTGTGTACACAAGTATGCCACGGTGTTTCTGTGGAGGTCAGAGGACAACCTGCGGGAGTCAGGTCTCTCCTTCCACCACCTGGGGCCCAGGCTTTTAACTCAGGTTATCAAAAGTTTGTGTCCGAGTTGACACTGTCTCCTTGAAAGATAAACTGATCAATTTCCATTGGTTTCTCAATCTCAGTCCCTCCTCCAATGAAAGCACAAGCATTTTCTCGGTAGAAATCTGAGGCAGGGCAGGCCTTCTGGTCACACTGAAAGGAAAAGGTGAGGACTAAGGCGACTTCAGTGGGAGGACGGGGGCTCACCCTCAGCATCACCAAGGATTTCAGAGTGCCTGGTTCCCACTGTTGTCCCAGACGGGCCAGGAAGCAGACCTGTCCACAATCCCCACTCCACCTTTATGGAAACACTAACGGTGAGCAACCTCCAGCCATTACTAGTCTAGGAGGCAGATGCTATCCCTAACATACACTGGCTGGAGAGACAACTCAGTCAAGAAGGCATGGGGGCCTGAGTCAGGATTCCCAGCCCCATGGGTAAAGCATGGCATGTAGAGTGTGCTTCTAAGTTCAGCACTGGTGGACTGGGGCAGAGACAGGAGAACTGCTGAGACTCTAGGACCAGACAGTCTAGCTGGAATGGTGAGCTCTGGGACCAATCAACAAACAGGAAGAAAGCAATAGAGAAACATCCAAAGTCGATTTCTGGCCCTCCTACACATGTGCACAGGCAAACACACCTGCACACCCACACATGTGCATACACACACTAAATTAATTAGCTAAAATTATACAGCCTTATGTGATAGAACCAGGATTTGAACCCAGTATGTTGGGCTCCATCCCCTCTTGGTGGGCGCCAGCTCACATCTTTGCTGTGTATCATTAACGTTCAAGGACCTGAAACCTTAATTAGACCCAATGATTTGCTTTGGCAGATCAAGTAAAGTTCCTCCACCAGGAAAACCCCTCCAGCAGCCCGCAATAAGACCACTAGTTCTTATCATAAACCTTGCTCTTGGAGAACAAAAAGGATCTAACATCCTTTTACAAATGCACACAAATAACTTCAAAGCTAAAACTAAAGACTCTCCTTTACCCCAACACCCTGTCCGCCCATGAAACATCTGAATGAAAGGCCAGGAAGGGACGAGGAGTGGGGGCTCTAAAATTCAACTGCACAGTGAGCAAAACTGCGGGAATACAGATCCCTGTGTCCAGCAAGAGAGTCAACAGCCGAGACGAGGCTTTCCGAGTCACTCCCATCTCTCCACACAACCCCCAGGAATGACTTAGCACCAAACTGCAGCAGGACTTCAGAGGGAAGCAAGGAAAAAGACAGACTCAGACCAGGGACTAAACTTCGGTAGCACTGGGCACGTGCCGTCCACACCCATCTCCCTCTGACTTCCAGCCTCCCCACCCGCACCACTTCCCCCGCTCGTGGTACTGGCTTGGGCAAGGCATCAGTCCCATGCAGGTTCAGCATTGGGCAAGAAGGGAAGGGTTTTAGGACACAACCAGAGACCTCAAACGATGAACTGGGGGAAGAAATGGAGAGAGCTGGAGCATGAACCACTGCCCAAATACAAAAGGCACAGTCGGGAGAGTTAAGCTGCGAGACTAATGAGCCGGCTCTGGGGACCTAGGTACTGGGAATAAGAGGGACGGAAGACAAAGCGGCCTCAACACGCCCTCAGGAGACCTGGAGCGGCTGCTCTGGTTTGCTGTGGACAGGGGTTCGGGCCAGCAAACCCACGGTAGAGAGAGGCTCTTTGCCTTGGAGAAAGAGTAGTCATTGGACCGGAGAATGACTGAAAACCAGGGACCGGTACCTGGAGCTGGGTCCCAGGAGGGTGACGGAAGAAGAGGGGCTGAGGCACGCACTAGAGAGCTGAGAGTCCCAGATGTGGAAACCTGCCAAGGGGATCAGCGGGCTGGGAGGGTCTGGGAGGGACTAAGGAGCAAGCTCTGCTCTAAGAGTTGGCTGTCAATGAAGGGGCAAAGGGACAGGAGCGCCAGCCCCGGGAAAGTGTGCAGAAGACCCAGGGCCAGGGTTCCGGAGCCTGCGAACGACCCCGCGGGAGTCCGCAGGGTGTGGGGACACAGGGCCCGGAGCGTGCGGCTTCAGCGGCACCACCGGGCGGGTGACAGCGGCGGCGCCGCCACTCACCGCTCATGTTGCCGCTCCCGGGGCCGCTGTCTGCCGTGCCGCCGCCGCCGCCACCGCCGCGTCTGCAGCCTCCGAGCTCCACACAGGCCGGGTGAGCGCGCGCCCCGCCCGCTGGCCCCGCCCCGGAAGCACGGACCCTCCGAGGGCCCGCCTCCCGACCCGGAACCAAAATACCCTCACGAGTCGAGGCCCGAGGGTGGCGGGGTGGAGACCCGGGGCGTGACGGGACGAACGCCTCCCCATCCCCGAGCCAGGAAGAAGACGTCAGTCTAAATTGTAGTCGGGATGACGATGCGGATAATCACAGAGAGCCTGGAATAGTGTTGCAAGTCTGTCAAAGCAGCCCTCCAGAGAAGGCTGATCCAGAGTTCAAGGTCATCCTTGTGAGTTCGAGACTGAGACCCTGTCTCAAAGGGGGGGGGGGGGCGGAGAGTAGTGGGCGTGGTGGCACAGGCTTTAATCCCAGCATTCAAGGCCGTGAAGGGGCCTGAGCTACAGCGTGGTAGGTGCTCTACCTTACTTTCAGACGTATCGTGGTTCAATCTCCCGTGTCAGAGAGACTGTGTGTGATGGGCCAACGTAGCAGTCCCAGAAGGTCTCTCTTTTAGGCCAAGCTCAGGACAGGTATTCCAGAAGGAACAGGTCAAATTCCTTACCAGTAAGGTTTGGTTGGAGCACAGGATGAGTGAGAAGTGGGGTTGAGAAAGAGGGTCTATTAAGATTGGGGAGCCCATTTGTAGGCAGGAACGTTTGCGTTCAGACGGCCCGCCTGTTGCTGAATGGGAGAAGAGAAGGCCACGGCAAGACTTTAAGCTGAGCGATGCAATCAGAAATGGACTTTAAGAAAACTTCACGGCAAAATCTCCTGAGTAAATTGGGAGCGTGGGGAGGTCACCGGAGAGGGTAGAAGTGGAGAGGGAAGGAAGGGAGGGGACTGGAGAAAAATGTATAGCTCAATAAAAACAATAAAAAAGAAAAGAAAAGAAAACTTCACGGGCTGGGGAGATGGCTTGGCGGTTAAGAGCAGTGGCTGCTCCTCTTTCAGAGGACCTGGGTTCAATTCTCAGCACCACGTGGCAGCTCACAGCTGTTGTAAACCCAGTTCCAGGGGACAACACCCTCACACAGACGTACATGCAGGCAAAATAGCAATGCACGTGAAAGGAAAATAAATAAAGTATTAAAGAAAACTTCACTTGCATTTGCTTTAACCCCAGCACTCATCAGGTGGAGACTCAGAGGGAACTTGTCTCAAAGAGAGAAGTCAACTTTCAAGAATGAGAGTGGATTGTAATGGGCTAGGGAGAATGGCCGTGATAGGGTGCCATTAGGGAGGTGCATCGGCAGCAATAGGGTGCCATTAGGGGCGTGCGATCGATGTCCAGTGACACTGCAGGTGACAGTGAGCGAGGAAGGTTGGGTGCTGTGAGAACACAAGTATTACGTTCACAGCATCGGGGAAGTTCAGGGTTTGAGCCAAGCGGTGATAGCGCATGCCTTTAATTCCAGCACTCGGGAGGCAGAGGCAGGGGAGTTTCTGTGAGTTCACAGCCAGCCTGGTCTACAGAACAAGTTCCAGGACAGGTAGGGCTGTTACATAAAGAAACCCTGTTTCGAAAAAAAATGAAATATAATAAAAAGCTGGACTTGAAACATACCTGTTGGGTATGAGCCTGAGGCTGGAGTCATCCAGCCTGGGTAACTTAGAGTCACTCTCTGTCAGAAATATAAAAATAATAAAGAGCTAGCTAGAGGCTGTAGCTCAGTGGGAAAACACAAGTGTGAGGCAGGCCCTGGATTCGATTCTCAGTGATACAATGGAAAAAGAGGTGACTAAGCCTTGGAGTTTCCCCTGCTCCAGTGGACTTAAGTCCTGGTAAATTTCACATGGCTTTAGCTAACTTCTTCCATCTGCAAGGGCACAGCCAGAAAGCTCTCAGCAGATGCTGGCCTCTTCATATTGAGCTTTCCAGCCTCCACAGCAGGCACATGGATGGGGGTGAGGGAGGTCATGCATACCTGTAACTCCGTGCTGGAGGCTGGAGCAGGAGAATCAGGAGCTAAAGGCTAGCTTATAAAGGAAGATACATTGCAGTCCTTTATACATTCCCAAACCTCAAATGTCCTGTGACAGTTCCACAGAATAACTCACTGGCTTTTACCCTGCTCTGATTCAGTGTCTGTCTACCTCCCTCCCTCCCCCACCTCTGTGTGTGTGTGTGTGTGTGTGTGTGTGTGTGTGTGTGTGTGTGTGGTGTAAGCTGGAAGCTTAACCTGGGACCTTGAATATAGTAGGCAAGTATTCCACCACTAAGCTACATTCTCAGCCCTGTCAGCAACTGTAGAATGGAGATAATAATTGTCTGTCTTCCTTATAGGATTTTGTCTGTGTGAAAGGACTTGAAGCAGTCTCTGGCACCATTAAGCCTACATAAGTGATCATACACTGCGCTTGAACCGAAAACAGGAACAGGTTCATGCTTGTCGCAGTTAGCAATGACACATGGTTTGTGTAAGCATACTCATGTCTGCTGCTGCCGTAAGCTGGGGACCTAGAGAACCTGTGCACTGCACACTGAAATGGCCAGGCTTCTGTTTACCAAAAAACATGGGGTAACCTTGCTTGCTTTGGCCATCAGGAGAACCCAGTTTGTCTTGAAATACACCATGTCGTGGGTGACTCCATAGAAACATGACACTCTAGGGCCTATAGAGGGTTTTTTTGTTTTGTTTTGTTTGTTTTTTAAGAGAGAGATGAAACTTCAATCAAAACCAAGGAATCTTCCACAGTTAAACTCCCAATAAGATGGGGGAATGAATCTACTGTAAAGAGTTTATTAAAGGACAATAGGCTATATCCCAGCTGATAAACATCCTAAAGACATGAAAAGCCTCATCTCTGCCTCTGACAGGCTCTCAAAGTGGCTCTATACCAGACAGAGGTTCATTCTCTAGAATGAATTGGTTTCTCCATCCCTGTGACACTTTCCGAAGCAGTTGGCATATTCTTGCCATAGTCACTTGTTTTCGTGGTGACAAGAATGGTTGCGCCCTCCTCCATGGCTGGAAGTGGGAAGTGGTCAGAATCAACCTTTGGGATGCTCTCGGCACAGTCCTCACAGGTGCATTCCTCCACCGTATACTCCAGGCTTCGGGGAAAAATCCTTACGTCATCAGCCCTGCTCTTCATCAGCTCAGAATTGGCCGTGTCCGGCAGAACGGATCCTGATGATACAGACACAGGCATTCACCTGAAGGTCAGCGGTACTGTCACAGCGTGAATAGCCCTGAGGCAGATGGCTGTTTTGGGTATATGGACTTTTTACATCTTGTCTTATGTTAACCACATTTAAAACTCAGATTTCACATGAGATTATATGGACTCTATAAAGACAACAGAAGGGACACAGAGACAATGGGCTGGATTCAAAGACAGCCCCTGCTATCTCCAAACAGGTGGAGAGTACCCTTGTTGGCAAAGCCGCAAACAGGGTCAGTCCATATACCTATTATCCACTTGGCTTTTGCAAGTTCTGAGGCTTTGACCTCATCTTACACAGGAAATTAGCATATGTCACAGCACGTCAGAGTCAGCCTATGAGTGACGTTTTGGAATACAGAAGCAAAGGTGACACACCTGTAATCCCAGCCACTCAGGCAGAGAGAGTTTGGAGCCAGCATATTCAAGAAAGGCCCTGAGTTCAATTCTAATAGAAGATGGGGGAAGAATATAGAAGGAATTTTTTTAGCTAATCTATTGTGGTGGGAGGAGTCACATCACATTGTGTACCTGTGAACATCACAACCACTTAGGGAGTGGATCCAGCTCAGCCTCACATGCTTGGTGGCAAGTACCTCCATCCTTCAGGTGTGTTCTGTGGCCTAGTTTTTCTAACATGACATCTTATGGAGCATTTTTCAGTACATTAATTTGTGGAGGAAGAGGGACAGGATCTTGTTCTGTAGCCCAAGTTAGCCTAGAACTCACTGTAGCCCAGGCTGGCCTCCTCATTTTATTCTATAATGTATGTGAGTGTTTGCTGTCAGTGGGTATATGTACCATGTATACTCCTGGCGCAAAAGTGCTGAGTTCCCTGGAACTGAAGTTACAAAAGGTTGTGAGCTGCCATGTGGGTGCTGGAAGCCAAACTGTGATCCTCTGTAAAAGCAGCAAGTGCTCTTAGCCACTGAGCCATCTCTCCAGCCTGTGGCCTCAGACTGTTGGTGACCCTTCAGCCTCCAGGGAACTGATGTTACAGGTGAGGGTCACACTCCTGGATAATTGATTTGAAAATGAATTTCCTTCGATCCCATAGATTAATTCCCAGTTTGTCTCCACTGCACATCTGTGCAGAATGAGTTTTCAAAAGCACTTATTGTGCCTGGTGCTGGTGGTGCATGACTTTAATCCCAGCACCTGAGAAGCAGAGGCAGGCGGATCTCTGAGTTCAAGACCAGCCAGGTCAACAGAACTGACAGGACAGTCAGGGCTACACAGGAAAACCTTGCCTTGAAAAACAAACAAAAAAAGGGCTTTTTACACAAGCTTGAGTTCAGATTCTCAGAACCCACATCAAAAAGTGGGGTGTGAGCTGGGTGGTGGTGCACGCCTTTAATCCCAGCACTTTGGAGGCAGAAGCAGGCCGACCTCTGTGAGTTCAAGGCCAGCCTGATCTACAAGAGCTAGTTCCAGGACAGGCTCCAAAAGCTACAAAGAAACCCTGTCTTAAAAAACCAAAATAAAAATAAATGGGGTGTGACAGCCAGGCAGTGGTGCACACCTTTCACCCTCCCAGAGGGTGGGAGGCAGAGGCAGGCGGACATCTATGAGATCAAGGCCAGCTGGTTACAAAGCCAGTTCCAGAACAGCCAGGGCTACCCAGAGAAACCCTATCTCAAAAGAAAAAAAAAAATGGGGTGTGGCAGCAGGCATCTGTAATGCCAGATTTTTAGTGAGGTTAGAGACAATGGACAGGAGAATCGCCCCAGAAGCTTGAAGGCCGGCTCGCTGTCCTGGAGAATGAGTCAAAGTATGAGAAACGAGACGGACCCTGCCTCAAAGTGGGATGCGAAATGACTCCTCAAAATTGTCCTCTGACCTCCACACGTGCTGTGACCTGCACTCTCTCACACAAA